ATATTTTTTACTATAATTCCAGGTTTCAAAAATTAGGTCAGTTATATATCGTGTGCATGTACTATGTGTAAAGCATTGGATGGTAGATGGAAAGGTAAGGGATGTAGCAATGATTAGGGCTTCTGTTTCCCTTGGTATGACAGACTAGCAACCCTAATCAGCCCTCCCTCAGAAAGCAACTTTATAAGTATAGAATACATCAACTATGTATTTTGAAATAACCTGTCTCCTAGCCTACTGATTATTTTTCTTCTATTCTGCTAGTGATACCTTCCATCACAGGATTTCTGTTTAATTTCTTTAAAATTCAATTTGTTAAGATTCTTTATTACAGCACTGAATGATTTTATTGTTTTATTGAAGTTCATTGAATTCTAAGAGTTCACAGATACTGATTAATATATGGTCAGTCTCTGGTGCCTTATTTTATCAGAAAATGAGATCATGATTCTCTGAAAGTTCTTGACATTTGTTAGCATATAATGAAGTCTCTTTGTTAGAGGATTAGGTGTTTATTCTAGTTTTCATAATCTGGCTTTCTTTGGGCCTGCCCCCCTAAAAATTAAAAGCAGTCTGCTTATTTTCTCTAAGCCTGTGGACCTTTCTGCAGTTTCATCACTAGATGGCATTCTAAGTCCAGGTTTGCTACAAATATACTGTTGTTATTTCAAGGCTAGAGGGGTCCCCAAGCCTACTTTTGCCCCACATCTACAGTAGGTATTTGGCTAAATGAACTGGAAGAGTGACTAAACAGGAAAGTCTGCAAGCCTCCATCTGGGACTGGAGTAGACCCAGATGCTTCATCTAGTCACAAACCTGAGATCAGATACTGCAGGATTCTTCTGGGTTCTGGCATCATCACAGAAGGACTGGCTCTAGGATCTTATGCAACAACTTGAATGCCTGCCTCTCTCTTCTTGCCCAAAGTGGACAGTTGCTCTTTGTGTTATACTGTCAGGGAGGAATGGAGTGGGAAGTCCCATGGCATCAACACTGAAACACTGAGTCATACTCTGAGCCCACCAAGACCAGTACAGCACAGGTACCTACACTAGTATAGTCTGTCTGCCAAGACTTTACCCCCAGCCATGGATAATGCTGACTGAAATAGAAGTATCATAAACTATTGTTATGCTCAAATTCGGGACCCCCAAAAGATCACCAGAGACCAAGATTGATGTAAGCAGCAAAGAGGTGTTTATTGCTAGCTAGCTCAGTCCTCTTCGCGCACACAGCAACTGGTGATGCTGAGAGACCCCGAGCCCAAGGTTTGCAGCAGTTTTATATGCTCTTTGGAGAAGGCAGGGACCCCCACATACATCATAGCATCTCTTAGCAAATCATCACACACCGCGGGAAAATCAAATAACAACTCTAAAACATGATTAGCACATTTACTGGCAGCAACATGTTGGGTAGGGGTGATTGGTTAATACAAGAGGGGGATTCATTTGAACTGATTAGTTTAAGCCAAAAAGGGTGTTCGTGCTGAGCTACATGGTTTCCCAACACCATAAACTACTGGGAGGGTCATCTGGCATCCCAGGTATTTCCCTGTCTCATGCTGATTGGTGGCTGCTAGGGGGTTGCTATGGGTCCCCACCTAGCCTGACTGAGTCAGGGACACCTGGCGCAGGAGATCTCTCCTGTATTTGTAGATAAACAACTTAGCAGGGTGGGAATGTGCCTAGGAGTGCTCTGTGGGTCTTTTCAAGGACAAAGGTCATGTCCCTTCCTTGGAGAGGCTTTGCTCTGAGGTAGAGGCTGGTTTTTCATTATGGTACCAGGACAGGTACAGATACTCCATTCTAAGGCACTGCTTGAGAACAGGGACCATTAGAATCTACCCAGTGTTAGGCATCATCGACCTGGCACTGAATTCCAAGGCAGTCCTGTGCTCACTTTCCTGTTTTACTCACCAATGGAATGAGTGTTGCTCCTTGGTGTGCTGCCCAAGTTTGGGGGAAGGGTGGTAAAGATAATTTCCTTACTTGCCCAGGCTGTGCTAAGCTGTTCACACCTAAGTCTCGCAGCTGTAAAGACCAGTACTGACTCAAGGATGTACACCAGACCTATACAGAATTTGGCAGTGATGCATGCTGAAATACAAGTCTGTCCTACCAGAGTATAGGTCTTTACTTGATGTCAGGCAGGTATAGAAGCTTCATCTACAAGTTTTAGACTGAGAACATGGACTTTGGGCTCCATCGTGGCAGTCTTGGCTCTGGGCTCCAGTGCAAGTCTAAGCTCACTTTCCTGCCCAGTTCCCTAGTTGGCAGAGTATTGCTTCTCACTCTGCTGCCTCATGTTGGCAGAAAAATAGTGGAGGCAATCAGCTACCTTGCTAAGGAATATCTAGGGGCTTAGTCTGTAAGTACTGCCTGTGGACAGGAACTATGGGACTCTATGAGGCACTGGATTTCAGTATAGTGGTCCTGGTTTCAAGTCTAAGGTCTTGCTTAATTCCTTCTCACTCCCCCAAGTGGGCAGTGTCTCTTTCTATGCCATACTGCTTGGTGTTGTGGGAGTGGTGACATGAGTTATTCTTTCCTGACTTCTTATTTGCAATTTTTATTCTTATTTTTATACTAAAACCAGACATTGTATTCTCTCACCTGCCTTCCTTAGTTCTTGTGAGGTAGTTTGATCTGTGGATAGCTGTAGTGTCTCAGAGAGGAGAGGATCAATGAGCATCTTAGCCACCATCTTGTTCTCAATGTCTATTGTACTTAATCATAACAGCCACTCTATAAGATACCTAGATAATCCCCATTCTCAGACAAAGAAACCGAAACTCTTAAAGAGCTAAGTAACTTCCCTAAAATTTCCCAACTCAAAATAATTTGTCTTCCTCGTTATAGAGTCTATAACATTTTTCCCACATACTATATTATTTTCCTGCATTTAAAATTAATAGCTTGTACCATGGATGAATGCCGCAGTCTGGCTGGGCACAAATCACGAGCCACTAAAGCAGGAACAAACTTTATTTCTGAACTCCACCAGCACACTCCACACACGCTCCCCGGGAACTCTCCCGAACGCCATGCGGCTCCTCCAGGAACCACCAACCGGAACTCCCTCTTCCGGTACTTCCCCAACCAATGCAAACTCTCCAGGAATCCCCACGAGAACTCTAAAGTAGCGCGAGAACTCCAAAGTAGCACGAGAACTCCGAAGTAGCGGGCTCAGGCGGATAGTAATGGCTCGCCTCTCAACCAATACTGTTGGCAGAATGCCAGGGGCCATTACGACTCAGCTGTGGCTCTCAGCATCTCCCCCTTTCTGTTTAATTAAACAACAAGCAACGTGGCTTAGGAACCATGTCTGTTAGGTTGTCCAATACTACATATGGTCCTTTTCCTAACAACATATCTAGATTTCTTTGAGGGTAACCGGCTGTTGCATTTTGCCTAGCTGTCTCCGTGCAAAATTTCTCATTGGTAACCTTCCATAACAAATATTGCCCTCCTTTTAGCACAGCTTTACACATGCTAGCCCAGTCTGCTGGCGTCATGTCCAAGTTGGTAATGGATTCAACCATGCTTACAGTGAAGGGTGCTTGAGGACCATAGGTTGTTACAGCCTCCTTTAACTGCTTCACTGTTTTGAAATCTAAAGCACGGTGAATTCACTGCCCTCCTGTCTGCTCAAGTACAGGGCATGCTAATCTTTGAGGTCCTGTCTCAGGCTCCCATCTATCAGCTACGGGGGTTGAGGGCCACTCAGCTGTCTCCATAGGTGGAGCTGTTGGTTGAATTATGCCCTCTGGTGATAGAACAGAGTTAGTAGCAGCCTCCTGTTGTAGCTTCCCCCCGATAGCTGTTTCTCCTTTAAGCTTTCTTCCTTTAAATTTTCTTCCTCTGTCTGACTAGCTCGAGAGACCTTCTCTTTTGCTTGATCTAACATGTTTTCTACCATAGTCTGGACCTCTAACAATTTGCTTAACACTCTTTCAGTTTGTTTTTTACTAATTTCTAATCTACTATAAAGATAACGCAACCCAACAAGATAACACAAAACAAAACCGAAACAGAATGAAACAAAAACGGAACAAAAAATCATTGTATCAATTTTTCTATTTTCTTGACATGTGCATTTGTGTTCTATTTCTATCTCTTTCTCAGGGGCGAACAACTTCAAACCTTGAACCAACCATTTTTCCCAGTTTGCCTGAGAAAGTTCTAGGGATAGGCAGCTTGAAACAAATCAAAACAAGAACATATTGTTTTTTGAAATGGTCACCCATTCTCTCACCTTCCCTCAGGGGCGAGCAATTTCACTTACCTTTGAGCTTCAGGCGTTCCCCGCACGGGCCGCCAAATGCCGCAGTCTGGCTGGGCGCAAATCATGAGCCACTGAAACAGGAACAAACTTTATTTCTGAACTCCACCAGCACACTCCACACACGCTCCCCGGGAACTCTCCCGAACGCCACGCGGCTCCTCCAGGAACCACCAACTGGAACTCCCTCTTCGGGCACTTCCCCAACCAATGCGAACTCTCCAGGAATCCCCACGAAAACTCCAAAGTAGCAGGCCCAGGCGAATAGTAATGGCTCGCCTCTCAACCGATACTGTTGACAAAATGCCAGGGGCCATTCCGACTAAGCTGTAGCTCTCAGCAGATGAATACATATCTATCCAATATAAAAATATGTTGTTTATTCTTGACAGCTAGTGCTTTGCTGTAAGAACGGTGTCTGAGGTATTGTTGTATAGCTCATCTTTAGGAATTCATAATTCTCTAGATTTTCACCCTACCCCAAAATTAGACTTGATTGAATAAATATTAGAACTTCTGAAAGGGTATATAGGTATGACTATTATAGTGTACATGTATGTATTTCTGTTTTTAAAGTATAAGATAATTATAATTTTTACCTCTGAGCCCAGTTTCTATATAATTATGATAAAGTTATTGTTCTAAAATTTATTTACTGAAAAGAATTTAACAATTACATTGTCTTCATGTGAAACTTTTTAATCTTTTATATTTAGGGTATCTTCATTGTAATGAATACGATAGACTGAGACTGAGGTGGCTGAGGCAGACATTAGAATCTTTCATCCCACAACCTTTGATAAATGTAATTAAAGTGTCTGAATCAGATGGCAGAGAAATAGGAGATGCTCAGCCTGAAACATTTGACAAGGTACTTTTATTACATTATGACAAACTGATAGACTCCCAATACCAAAATTTAGTTGCTTTGTTATTGTGATTTTCCTTCTGTTCCCAGATATAGCCCAGTACATTTTCTCAGCAGTCTGGGAAATTTTGATAAAGTGAACATGGGTGCACTTTTAATTTGATGGTCAACAAAGTTCACAGGAAACAGAAACATTGGGTTTGGGGATTATAGAATGTTTTATATTTCCAGGTACCTGAAGAATATGCAGGAAAAGATCAGATATTATTTGGATTAATCCACAGACATGTCTACTGGACAGCTTTAATATAATAGTAACATATCAGAGTATGAGAATTGAAGAAAAAAGGTTATTTCAGTAAACTGAAATTGAAATGTTCTTAAAAATAAGTGCAGAGAATTCAGAAATACAGCAGTGTCTGTTTAAAATGAGTATCTATTTTAAGTTTTTGCTGTGGTCATCAAGAATATTAAATGTCATTAATAGACATTAGTAGACTTTAAGAAGACTCCCATCTTGCATTTCCCCCAACAAAACAAACAAAACCCAAATACTGAAACCACATAGGAAAAATTTTTGAAACATATTAATGAGAAAAGATTATAAAGAACTTATCACATATATTTTTTATTCCAAAGAAATTTTTTTTTTTACTTACTCTTTGTTATGTAGCTTTTCTAAAAACTTCTTGCCTGACAGCATATTTGCATTGTTTGCCTTTCTCTGTTGTAGGTGTTGGTTGATGCTCCATGTTCAAATGATCGAAGTTGGTTATTCTCTTCTGATCCTCAAAAGGCAACCTGTAGGATACATCAAAGGAGGAATTTGCCTGTTCTACAGATGGAACTCTTAAGGTGAGCACTGTTAATACAAAAGTGTATTTGAGTTTCTAGCATAATGTAAATGGGGGTGACAAAGCATGTCAAGCTGTCAAATGAAATACTTTCTATGTAGGTATCCATGATTAATGCCTTTGAATTCCCAACCTCTTCCTTTTTTGCTCTCATGCTATGACTTCTAACTCCTGGTGAAATGCAATTATCATATACATTGTCCATTAAAGGGTACAGATGATTTTCTGTGGTTCAAAGTTGTTTACTGGGACTGTCCCAAGCCTAAGGTTCATCATCCTTTTATCAGAATCTGATCAGTCCTCTTACAGGAGTAACTTTGGACCAGGATGCAAATTTTGGTAATCTTCTAGGTGAGTCAGCTAGTGCAGAGAATTCAGAAATACAGCAGTGTCTGTTTAAAATGAGTAACTATTTTAAGTTTTTGCTGTGGTCATCAAGAATATTAAATGTCTAATATTTAATATTATATTCCTAAAGAATATTATCTTCTTTAGGAAATTATAACTAGTTTTCACACATCTGCCTTCTAAGATGTTTTCCAGAAGTAACTGGCCACCAAGAGGTAGGGGGGCATGGGGTTATTAATGATGGTGGAATGTGATGATCCTTATTGTCCAAAGTAAAGGTATGAAGACACGAATTGGTGTGAATATACTGTGTATACAGCCAGAGATATGAAAAATTGTGCTCTATATGTGTAATAAGAATTATAATGCATTCTGTTGTCATATATAAATAAAAAATTTTAAAAAAGAGGTATTTGGTTTCCTGCATTGATCAGAGGCATTAGGGACATCCTTAATGTCATCCATCTAGTTCCAAAGAGACTTTTTTTTTTTTTTTTTTTTATTAGGGGGTATCAGGGATTGAATCCAAGGGCACTTAACCACTGAGCCACATTCCCAAGCCTTTTTAATATTTTTTATTTAGATACTGAGAGTTTAACTTGCTTAAGGCCTTGCCAAGTTGCTAAGGCTGGCTTTGAACTTGTAATTCTCCTGCCTCAGCCTTCTAAGCCACTGGGATTCCAAGAGATTTTTACTTATACACTTTTCCCAATTAATGCCAATTTTTTAATGCTTATATTAGTCCATTGTTCTATTGCCATAACAAAATACCCAAGGATGGTAATTTTATAAAGAAAAGCTTTTATAGCTCTCAGTTCAAGAGCATGATGCCATATCTGTTCAGCTCTGGTTGAGTGCCTTTTGGCTGTATTATATCATGTAGCAAATTGTCTCATGGTGGCAGTATATACAAAAGGGATAGATCACAGAGTAAGATTAGAAGTCAGAGGGATTTAGGGGGCAGGAATTTTTATTTTTTATTTATTTTTTAATAAAACTCACTCTTTCAGGAACTAACCAGGATTCTGAAATAACTACATTAATCCCTTCTGAGGATGGGATGTAAAAACTTTTCACAATGTCCCATTTCAGAAAGGTTCCACCACCTCCCTGCCACTACACTAGCTTTCAGCATATAGACCTTTGGAGAACACAAACAATATCCAAACTATGATAATGCTTGAAAAAAAAATCTAGAATATTTAAAATAAAACTGTGCCCTATCACTCATTACCACTTACATGTAGAATTTCAGTGAGTCACGGTATGAACTTCTGATAGTGTGCTTAATTTCCAACAATGAATATATACCCTTATCTTAAACATCATGACCAACACTAATGCATACTTTTGTTCTTGCTCATATTATGCACTGGCTCAGAATTATATAGTAGTACTTACCAGAAAGAAGGTTTTTCTGAATATTTTTAATCTGGCAGTTAGATCATTGTAAAGAAATCAAAAGGAGACAGAAGCAAGGTACAAAGGCAGAATGGCTCCTCATCCAACCTGCCAACTTTATTTATACTAATAGGTTACATTCGGTCACTGTACATTATTGTTTATTATATCGTCAAGTAGGTTACAGCAGGTTATAATGTAAGATTTTTTGTTTATGGTTAGATATGTGTTCTGGCTAAGCATGCATTGGTTATCCTAAGAGTGCCTGGGAAAAACTGCAGAATATTCCAGCCATCGGAAACAGGGCATCTTTTACTCCCTGGAAATATACTGGAAACGCTATCCTATATATTCCCACGATCAGAACCCTTGCAGACCATTTGTTCGAATGCTTCCAATGTCTGTCATTTATATACTGTGACTCTTAAGACATTTTGAAAACTCTTTATTCTCTTTCCTTTTTACTGACTGGGTTATTAGCTTTAAAATATTGTTTAGATCTTTCTCATATAATTTTCTAGTTCAATTTATTAATTAAATATTCCTGCTCCTCAGGCCTTGCCCTTGATGTCCCTTAAACTTTATGACAGATAACAAATTTTGTGGTGCCACATTAATACCATGACTATGTTAGTAAGAGTTTTGTGGCTGTGACCCAAATACCTGACAGGAAAACTTAAAAGAAGAAAAGTTTATTTTGGGTTCAGAGTTTCAGAATTGAATTTGTGGTCAGCTCACTCCATTGCTGTGAACCTGAGGTGAGACAGAACATCATGATGGAAGAGCCTGATTGATGATAGTTGCTCAGCTCATGAGAGCCAGGATACAGAGATAAATCAGGGTGCCAGGAACAAAATATAATCCCCAAGAACACACCCCCAGTGACTTACTTCATCCAACCATGCCCCACCTATCTACAGTTACCACCTAGCAGTGCATTGAAATTATCAATTCATCAAATGGATTAACTCACTTCTGAGGTTAAAATTCACTGAACCTTGTTGTATTGGGGACTGTACTTCTAAAACATGAGTTTTTCATGGAATATTTCTAGACACAAACCATAACATTTTACCCCTGGTCTGCAAAAGCTCTTTTCCATCTCACAGTGCAAAATGCTTTCAGTTGATCTCTAAAAGTTCTTATAACAATTCCAGCATTGTTCAAAGCCTAAATCCAAAGGCCCCTCCAGTACCAAAGGCAAATAACTTTTAATTGTTTCTGTAAAAATCAAAGGCAAATTACATATGTCCAATATATAATAACACAGAATGAACATTTTCATTTTAAAAGGGAGGAATGTTGGCATAGAAAGAAGGAATGGGACCAAACCAACACCAGACAGCCAGGAAATCATTAGATACTGCAGCTCTGCATTTGGGATCTGGGGCATCACTTGTACTAGTGTGATATGGGCCCCAAAGGAATTGGACAGCTCTACCCCTTTGACCTTACTGATTGAGCCCATGTGGACTCTTTCTTTGCCTGGTTCTGCTCACTTCCTGTCGTTTTTCTCAGCAGATGTTCCACATTCCTGGCATCTCTTAATCCTGGGGTCTCCATGCAGCTTTGGCATTACTTTCCCTGCTTCAGACATCGCCCTCTCAGGTGCTGCCTACAGGGATTCAGCCCTGACACACTTTGCTTGACATCATAGGTTTTCTGTTGGAATCTCAGTGGAAACTTTGTGACTCCCTAACTTCAGCATCTTGCATTCCTATAAAACCAGCATCACATGATAGATGTCAAAGTCTATCACTAGTTGGCACAGTAGCCAGGCCCATTTGGACCATGGCTGCTGCAGCATCCAAGCACTTGAATGGCCAAGCACTGTGAAAGGAATCCTGAGGAAACTTCCTAGGTATTCTGTGTAAAAACTTCCTAGGTATTCCTGTGTAAATAGGGTACCCCTGGGGTCTTGTTAAACAGTTTACATTTTAACACCCTTGAACCTGCAATGGGTGTGATCTTGTTGATTCCTGAGATGCCATCAAGACATCTTTTCTATTGTCCATACAAAGTAGTTAGCTTCTGTTCAGTAGTGGCAATCTTCAGCAATCACATGTACTTTTCAGGCCAAACTGCAAGTTTAAAAAATCTTTCCTCTATGCCTTTTGCTCCTGATTATCACACTAAAGCTGGCTAAAAGCTGCAAGCAATACTCATGCCATTGCCAGAATGCTGCTGTTCTACCTTGAAATTTTCCTCTACCAGATTAATTTGTCCATTTCCTTTAAATTTAGCCTTACAGAAAAATCTCAGGATGTGGGCAAAATGTTCTTTGCCAGGATGCTGCACAAATGGCCTCTAGTGTAATTCACAATAGAATCATTATTCCCGTCTGAAACCTCCTGAGCACAGTCTTTACTGTTCATATACCATTTGGCATTCTGGTCCTCTGAGCTCCTACCAGAAATGCCATTTGAGCTCTGTTTATAATATTCTAAGGCTTCTCTATTCTGCATCTCCAAACTCTTCCAAAGTCCTTAAACCACTACCAAAGGCATATGAGCTACATGGTCAGGTTAGTCACAGAAATAGGACCCCATTTCTTGGTACCAATTTCTGTGTTAGTCAGCTTTTCATTGCTGTGACCAAAATACTGACAAGAAGAACTTAGAGAAGAAAAAGTTTATTTGCGATCATAGTTTTAGAGTCTTAATTCATGGTTGGCCAACTCCATTGCTCTGGGCTTGAAGTGAGGCCAAATATGGCAGAATAGGAAATCTGCTCAGCTTATGGCAGCCAGGAAGCAAAAAGAAAAAAAAAGAAGGGGCCAGGGATAGATAAAGATCCCAAGGGCATACCCCCAGTGACCTACTTTATCCAGCCATGCTCCACCTGCCTAAAGTTACCACCTGGTAGTCTATTCAAATTATTAATCCATTAAATGGGTTAATCCACTGATAATGTTACCACTGTCATTATTGTCTGAAAGCCTGCCTCTGAACCTTATTGTAATGGGGACCATGATTCCAAAACATGAGGGATATTTCTAATTATCCAATCTATAACACTGACCTTTAATTTTTTTTTAATAAAACATGAGTAAGCAACCAGATGTCCTGAGAATATTTTTATCTTTTTTCTATCATGAAAAACTACCCATTGGTTTCTTTTTTTTTTTTTTTCTTTACCAGGCAATTTTTGTGTTTATATTCATATATGGCTTTTTTTCCTATATATAATCAATTCCATATATTTTATTTTTGTTTCCCTCATTTTTCCCTATCTATTCTTTGTAAACATATT